TCCAGAGAGGAAAGAGGAGTTCTTGGCTACATTCCGTAACAATGTCCTGATTTTCTGGGGCAGTTCCAGGTTCACATATTTGATCCATTATTCCCCAATGCCATTGAAATGCAAAACCATTTTCTTTGAAAATTCAGTGAGTGAATTAAATGAGTAAGTGCTATTATAGAAATGCATATCACAAAATATGAGGAAGCAGAGTGAGGGAACCTTAGGCTTTCGAAAGCAGAAGTCCGCCAGTCTGTGTAGTAGATTTTTTTAGTTATGTGTGGTTTGTGTGGTACTTTTCTAATAAAAAGCATGTGATGCCAAAAGTAACATAAAATTGATATAGCGAAGCAGAATGTGTGTTACGAATATAGTGCCTACTATGTGCCAAGTGCTGTTCCAGGTGCTGGGAATAGAGCAGTGAATTAAGACCAAGGTTTCTATGCCCATGAAGCTTGCATTCATACTAAGTTGATTATTTTAGGGAATAATGGCATTAACTATTTACATGTGCTATCATACTTAGTTACTTTGCTGGTAGGTTAGTGAGTTTTAATAGTTTTTCATTTATTATAATAACAAAAATTAAAGATATAAAAGTAGACAAAATAACAAAATAAACTCCCCATGGATGAATCATCCAAGTGGCAATTATCAACTCATGGTCCATCTTGTTTTGTCTGTGCCTCCCCCAGTTTCTTTTCTCCCAGATTATTTTGAAGTAAATCCAAGATACCCTACTTCTTTCTTTCTTTCTTTTTTTTTTTTTTAAAGATTTTATTTATTTGACAGAGAGATAGCACAGATAGGCAGAGTGGCAGGAAGAGGGAGAGGGAGAAGCAGGCTTTCCGCTGAGCAGGGATCCCAATGCCGGGCTCGATCCTAGGACCCCGGGCTCGATCCCAGGACCCCAGGATCATGACCTGAGCCGAAGGCAGACGCTTAACTGACTGAGCCACTCAGGCGCCCCCAAGATACCCTATTTCAAGTGCCAATAAGTATTTTAGTATATGTCTCTAAATGATAAGGATGCTTAACAGGAGGAGCTTATATGTTAAAATTTTTCCTTTAAATAAAATGTTTTTCTGTTAGAATTTGTGCCAAGTATATTTTAATGACATTGGGAAAGAAATGTTTTTAAAGAAGTGCGCTAATCCTCGTAATTTGCCCCCAGTTAGGAGTGAGACTAAACATTAGTGTGGAAAATTTGACTTTTAAATATTGAATGAAACAAAACGGTGCTTTTACTTACTGAAATGAAAGTATTTCTCATAAGAGGTAGTTCTAAATTGGAATTTATAGTAAATTAAGAAATAATTTCTGGGGCGCCTGGGTGGCTCAGTTGGTTAGGCGACTGCCTTCAGCTCAGGTCGTGATCCCACAGTCCTGGGATCGAGTCCCGCATCGGGCTCCCTGCTCTGC